AAAAGGAGAACTCTATTTAGGTGATTCCAAGCTAACCTTTGGAGCTAGTTGTCAAGCTCGTCACCAAGTGGCCCTTGAATAATCTTTTTCTCCCCTTTACCGTCTGCATTTGGCATCTGCACTGCATATAGGCACAGTCACATCCAAATAGAAAGACACCTTCATACCTTTGTTGAGCTCCATGTTTAAAATAGGGGATTACCCTCCACCAAATGGCAAGTCTCGAAAGGCAGGATAAAGAAAGATTTTCTAAGTCTTCACAACCCCTCCCTACTCACAAAGGGTAAGCACTGTTAGACTTTTTAGTTTTAGTTGGTAATTTTTATAAATAAACCTGGTGGTATTTTTTTTCGTTCTTCCTCAATTTCTAGGCACCAAGCAAGCTTTGTCCTTTGAAATGTCCTTTCTTCAAGACAACACAGATGGGCCAGATCTGCCAGGAGCTACTAATACTTATTCCTGGTAATTTGGTGGGTTTTCTTCGAGGAGGTCATATGGTGTGTGAGTTGGAGGGGTGCACAGTGGAAGGGAGGGATGTACGCTCACCACCTGCGCTATGAGGCCAGCGCTTCTCTCCAGGCCTCTTTGCTGGTCCTGAAACTTCCACGCCCACCAGCGTCCAGCTTGCTAATAGCCACAACGCACTGCCAAACGCCCGGGGCTCCTGCACAACTTGGTGAAAAAGGCAGGCTCCTTGGATAATGCTCCACAGAGGCAATTTGGATTTTCATTAAATAAGAATACTTGCTACTACTTCTGAGCTGCCTGCCACATGCCACCCAAAGCACTAGGCATATCACACATGACATTTTTCTACTCACAACAACGGCTGGAAGTCAGAGTCAGGTCTGTCTGACTCCAGCATGTCTGCTCTTTCCTTTACTGATGATTGATCTATGTTAAGAATAAATGTCGGAATCTGCTACAGAAAAAAAGAGATAGATTGTGAAGTACATGAAAATCTTCATAGATCACCATAATCCTCCGAAGGATTGGGGGGCGTATGAGGAGTGGGGGTAGAGACGCGTAAAGTCTCTTTTTTTTGTTGGGGCGTT